ATAGTCTTCGCTGAAAAAAAGCCTACAGATTATGCATAATAACAGAAACATTGCTCAAGCGATCTTGTGAAACTTACTGTGCATTTATTACAAAATAACTTTTTAGATGGCTATCAAAAGGGATGAATTTAGAGATGCAACTGAAAGTAAGTCAAAGCACAGCATGCAGTCAGCAACCAAAACCTTCTCTGGCAAGTTTTTTAAATTTTCCCCTAAGCAGTTCCAATAAAAATACTTATCTCTTGTTCTCTCTTTCTCTCTATAATTAATAAATAAATTTAAAATAATTAAAATTAAAATGTTAAATATATTTGAAATAATTAAAAATATATATACATTTAAAATATTATTATTATATAATAATTTTATAATATAATATTATAACATTTAAATATTAAAAAATATATATATTTATTTTGTTATACATTTATTTACTAGTGCTTACTAGTTGGTTATGGCTGACTAGCTGACCACCTTTGACCCATCCCTACTCAAAAACAATGATATTTGTCATCATTAGTCCAATTAAGAAGAACGATTCAAAGAACAGGCAATTTTTTTAAGTAAAACTCACCTGGTTATTAGGGTCTGTGAGATACCGGACCACAATGGGTACCAGATACCGCGAGAAGGCTTCTGGGAAATTGGGCCGATTTTCATGGAGGAACATGGCAATGTTTGGTACCTGTTCCATCAGCTCTGCTCGCACTGTCGGTTCTGTAACATCCAGTGTTGGGAGTAACGCATTACAAAAGTAATAATATTACAGTAGTATATTACTTTTTGCTGTAACGCAGTAATACAACGCATTGCTAATCAAATTTGGGTAATATTATTACTCGTTACAATCTCAGTAACGCAAGTTACAACAACATATTTTAACTCAAAATTAAGTGGTGAATTTACCAACACAGCAAAACAGCACCAGAGAAAAAATTCCGCGGGTAAAATAGTTTGTCTATCTTCTGTTGCTGGAATTAGATGGTTGAGATGACTGCAGAGACGGATTCTACATTTGTGAGATGGACACACTCCTGTTATTTTCAGTTCATCGGAGAAAAGGATAAGAATGCATGGTGCAATATGTGCGAAACCAAACTCCCAACATGGAGAAATAGCACGAGTAAAACCTGGAAACACCTAGACTGGTGCCACTAACACTAAGCTATCGGAGAGAGAGCTGCGGGGTCGGAGAAGAGAAAAAGACGGCGGACGAGCAACAAAAATTAAGTTTAACTAAAAATAAAATCTGTTTTTATTAAATCATAGTGTATATATAAAATGAATGAATATGCGAAATATTTGACTTAAATAGCCTAATTAACAGATTAACAAAACGAAAGGAAAAGACTGAGAGATAGGCTATGTTGCTGAGTTTGGTTCATATGCTATTTGTGTGGCGCGGCGCTCTACGAAAGTCCAGGGAAAGGAAACCGAGATGACAGAAATAAAGTAAACACATTGCAGTTTCAAATGATCTGTATGACCAAAAATAACAGAGTATTTTTTTGTTGTTTGTTTCCGCTGTTCGATCGCGCCGGCGCCTCACGCACACACATACAGCATTGCAAACGTTGCAGCCTGTTCATTATCAGAATAAAATACAGTCAACCAAACATAGATACACTGGTTAATTTAAATAGTGCGTAGCCTACTGCGTAGTACAATCCGTGTCGATCAGCCTGAGCTCGGGCCAAACACACATTTGCTCATGTGACGAGGATGTTTTTTAAGTGCGTTAAGTAAGCTTGGATTACATAAAGCATTCAAATACATTGCAAATATGGACACATTTAATTGGATTAATGGCGAATGAGAGAGGTAGGCTGCGCGAGAACGCCGTTTGCTTTCAGTTTCGCATTGAATTAGCCTAATTCATTTTGGCTTGTTTAGCAACTTATATTTTTCATTCTTGTTTTCTTCTGAAACCGTTCAAAATAGCCTATAGGCTAGGTATTGTGTTTATTGTTTGTACATGATAATATTTCGCTTTATTTACCAGTGTTATTTATGAATGTAATAATGCGATTTGTGCTTATATTTTTTAACCTAAACTACAACGTAACATTAATGTAGACCTACATACCGGTATCTAAATATGATTTCATATTTTATGCTATGTAGACCTACCACATTACACTCCACTGAATGTAGTATGAACAGCAATAAACTACATTATGAAAAGTATGAAAATATCAAAAGTAACTCAAAAGTAGTGTAATGCATTACAATTCAGAGACAGTAATATTGTAATGTAACTAATTACTTTCAAAAGACAGTAACTAGTAATATATAATGTATTACATTTTGGAAGTAACTTGCCCAACACTGGTAACATCACATTACATTCACAATATTACAGACAGTTCAACCATTCTAAACAAGTCAAATACAGGCAAAAGTCATACAAACCTCCATCCTCAGACATCCTGGCAACCGTTTCCATGACGCTGATGAAGTCATTTTCATTATCACTGAACTCCCGGAGCACATCCAGCAATCCACGAGCCACAATTTGCCTGAAAACAAACATATCAAGAACAACATAAGACACCACATGACATGAGCTTTTTCAATTTATAAGCACAAAACTATTTTTTTTGAAAAGTGCCTACACAATTTTTCCAGAGTAATGTTTATAATCTTTCCAGGCCAAAATATTAGAAGTCACCCAAGAAACGTTCAATCTAAGCCAAGTTCTTCTACGATGACAAGTTTGGCTCCTTACTAAAGGCTGATTTATACTTCTGCGTCGGACCTACGCCGTAGCCTTTACGCCGTAGGCTATGCGTCAGTTTTCATTTATACTTCTGCGTCGTTGTCCGCGTCTACGTGCAGTACACATGCAAACCGCTAGTCAGCAGTGTCCACGGGCATGTTGCTGGTGTAACCCGCAGTACCACGGCAAAAGCCGAAGAAGAAGCGGCTCGTCGGAGAAGCATTATAGCCGTGACGGCGGCAAATAAATATCAAATCATTAAATCATTATTTAAAACTACAAAAAGGAGACAACAACGGAACAGGAGATGATGGCATTCTTTCAATCTGCACAAGGACTTGTACCACGGCAGATCAACATTGTCTGTTGCGGACAACTACTGATGTATAATGCTATGTAGTATAATAAATGATAAGACACTTGTTCTTTGCTTTGTTTTATTTTATATAAGAAGGTGTAACATTAAAATATATTAAAGTGCACATAAACACACAAAACTCAAGTACATATGGAAGGAGGGGTTCTTGCAGACCAATCACAGCGCTTGCGGTCTGCGTAGAATTGACGCGCTGTTAGATTTTTGGAGAGGTGCACGTCAGGCTACGATGTATGGGTGTGCGTCTATGCGTAAGCTACGGCGTAGGTTTGACGCAGAAGTATAAATCAGCCTTTAGTATCTCTGGTCCAATGTCCAATGTCATATCAGGTCAAACTTTTAAAATTATGTTACACCACTTTGCCATAAAAAAAATTATCCTCATATTTTCTGTATCAAATCTCACTTATCTTCGAGTGACAGTTACAAGATGGACATAAAATCTTAAACTACTCCTGAGAAAACACTGAGCATTGCATTTCAGAGAAAAAAAACATCCTGAAATCCATCTCACATTACATGTCTCATAGTTACTTGTTTTATACTGCAGACCACACACTTTACATCTCACCTGTTGAAGACGTTTTCACTGAAAGCATATTTCTCCAGCCGGCCCAGAGGGGTGAGATTATCCTGGCCTGCATCCAGGAATGCTGTTATCCGAATCCCATCACACTCTGAACCATACTCATCGAATCCAACTGCAAGACAGATTAATATGGACAGTTAATGACCGAGTATAAATCAATGTCGAGTTTGTGAGTACAGCCTGGTGGTATCAAATGTGAGATCTTTTAAATTCAAACTAGGAATCTTATTAAAAGAAATTCAGAGTGACACAGAGTAGAGGGAATCTGTTTAATGAGAAATTATTTACTTTACAGCATAAACAGTTAAAGGGATTCCATTATAAGCAAGCTGCTTCTGTCAGCAAAGATCACACTGACATCAACTATATAGTGTAAAAATAATGAGGAAAAATCTTAAAAGCATGGGTAGGTCCATATTAAATTTTACATTAAAAATTGCATATTTGAGGTCCATTGAGATATTTTTGTTGCGACATTATCTTGACAATTAAGCTAATTTTTAATTAAAGTATGAATGGTCCTAAAACAGACTTCATTAAGCAAAAATATCTATCTATCCATACATACATATATATATATATATTTTTTTTTTCTCCCGAGTGAAACATGACCTGGACATGTACTTGAGAGGTTTCATCAGATTCACCCAGTCACAATGATAGAGAGAGATATTGATTTGTAAAGTTGCTGAAGAGTTCTGTATACTCACAGTCATCCAAATCATCATGACCATCTTCAAAATACAAAGACAGACCTGGGGAAACAAACCATAAACTTAAGATCAGAGCCCGGCAAGTGTATAGTAAATAATCTGACAGTTTCAAGCCATGCTACTGTGGCTCACAACATAGCCTCCTAGTAAGCTACCTTACTACACAGCATTTTTGTTTTTTTCAGTGCAAGTGCTGCTTAGGTAGACTGCTCACTAGGTTTTGACACACAGCCTTGGTATGTATCGTAGTGTTAACTTTTATCTCACTAAAATGTCAACTCAGGTTTGACTACATCAAATAACCCGCTTACTAGGCGAAGATGTCTGCCAAACACCTTTCATATTGTAGTGTGCAACAACATACAAACAGTTCTTAAGTTATGACACATTAGAAATGCATTTTAAAAGGTGACCAGTTAACCAAACGTGCTAACCGGAATCGACCCCGGTCAGGCTGGCTAACAAACTGACAGTCAAGCTCCTTTCAGCTCAGCTATGTTATCATCATTATTTACTTAAATGCACTATATAATTTCCACCATAAAGTATTTAATACAACATAAACTGTCCTGTTGGGCCGATGTAGTTCTTTATCACAGTACTTTTATAATATCCCAGTCTGTCCTGCTAGCTTCACAACTCGCAACTAGTGTTAATCCACTTAACATTTCACCAAGCTCATGACCTTTCTTCTAAAATACATCAGAAAAATTGAAAAGGCATTACGCGTCACAAAATCAACAATAATAACTGAGCCGATTCTCTTTAAACCGCCTCATAAAGCTTTAAATAAATGTACTAAAGCACGTTACCTGCCATCTTGATTAACAGCGGGGCTGTCACTCGACTTCCTCAAAAGATTTCCTGCTCTTATTTCAATTCCGGCATCTACATGAATATCAAATACTTAAAAAAACAAACATAAACTCATCGAAACAAAACACTTTTACGCGTGAAAATATCGCAAATAATCGTATCGCTCAACCGAACGCTCGATGAGAAAAAAATAAGACAATGTCGATCACGTGACTAGTCTAGCGACATCCGATTCGTGAATGAATTGTTCATAACGAATCGAATCGTTTAGTGATTCAGTTGAACCGGTTCACAAAACCGGACTGAATGATTCTTTCACGAATCGGACTGAGATCCGGGCGTTTTCTCGAGACACTCTTTGAAATTTCGTGCTGTTTAATGTAAATAAAAATTCAGGATTGTGACTATTTTTTACATTTCCATTGTCCTTACTTTTATTTCCATTGTTCCATT